TTACCCTACTCCAAAAGTTTAATGGCTTCTCATCGAAAACGGCACTGTATTTGAAGTGCATCATGATTTGACTTCGCTCTACACTTCCATTCTCCTCTCTCTGTTGTATTTCACATATAAGCCACACCAGGTGAACCATTGTACTTTCATGTCCCTGCTCCTTTACTTATTCTTTACATCATTTTGGAGGGATCCTTTATCCCAAACAAAATCTTATTCTCACTTGACTGATGCAATAAACTTTCTCCTTGAAGCCTCTCTTGAACCACCTTGTTGACATTACCACCTGCTTCTTTGACATTCGCATAGCACTTTGCTTGTAACTCTGTTTAGCATTGCTTTGGTTCTGTTTCCTAGGCACCCAGTGGCTTTTTTAGAGTTATCCTTGATATTTGGGGAAAAATAAAAAAGCAGTTTATTTTACCTAATTTCTATATCCTAAAAAGTTCTTAACCTGAAATTCATGTCTTCATTGTGGTCCTCTGGAAGTTTGGGAAGGTGGGGCAGCATGTGAAACTTCATATATAAATATATACATACATACTTATAAAATTGCTTGTGTGTGTGTGTGTGTCTGTGCATGTGTGTCTGTGTGAAAAGGAGTCCACAACTTTCATCAGACGCTCAAAGAAATGTGTAACCCAACAGAGTTAAGGACAACTATTAGAATATTAGACTGTTGTGGAATGGGCACTCTGCCACTCAAGCAGATGGGGGAGAGGACTGTAAGCAACCAAGAAATCATGAATGTGCATCCAATGTGGGTGTTTAGGGCATGGTACCCAGCTGGGCAGGTGGAGAATGCCATCCACCCAAAGCTGCCAAGGGCTATGAGCCAGTCCTGATTAAACTCGGGACTGCACTTGCACTGACTTTTGGAAATTGCTGTGAAATCCACTCTCCCCAGTCACGGCACAGGAGCACAGTTGCTGACTGAGTTATTTCACATAAAAGCCCTGACTGTGCCTTTGTTGAGAAGCTAAGCTGGCAGTGGCAGTGATGCTTCTTGTCCTTGTCTACTTTTTCAATTCCCAAATAAGTATTAGTTTGATTAATAATCACATTTCAGTCAGTCACAGGCACCAGGTGGTTTGGAATTCTGGGGAGGGAAACAATAGTGCATGACACATATCTTCTCTCCATCTTTATAGTAAATAGAAAAACTCCTCAAAAAAGATTATAATGGTGCAGGTGTCTAAATATATGGGTTGCAATGCAATGCAATGCAGTCATGTTTATCATGAATGATAGAACTAAATGACTTAAATCTACAGTGCAAGGGATAGATAGAGGCCCTCCTTGATCATACTTCTTAATTGCCCATGCTAAAAAAGTTCATGATTTTGAGATTGTTTTTCCAGCCACTTCTTTCCTTCCATGATCTCTTTTTTTCTTTATTGAAGTATCATTGCCAATCTTTTGTTAGTTTCAAATGTACAACACAGTGGTTCCAGTTACCCATGTTATTAAATCCTCACCCCCTCTAGTGCAGTCACTATCTATCAACGTAGAAAGATGATAGAGAATCATTGAGTATATTCTCCATGCTCTACTACTGTCCCCATGACCAACTTCTATTGTGATTGTGAATTATTATGACCCACCCTCCACCCCCAACCTCTTCTCCTTGGTAACCACTAGTCACTTCTCAGTGTCTATGAATCAACTGCTGTTTTGTTCCTTCTGTTTTCCTTTGTTTTTATATTCCACACATAAGTGAAATCATATGATATTTGTCTTTGTCTGGCTTTTTCACTGAACATAATACCCTCTAGACCCATCCATGTTGTTGCAACTGGCAGGATTTCTTTTCTTTTTATGGCTGAATAGTATTCCATTGTTTATATCCTTCCATACTTTCCTAGAAAATCCTCTTGGATGAGAAACAGGTTAATTCATAAAAAAGAGGCATGAAAAACACAGACACATCCAATTGTCATGTGCATTCCTGTGCCTGTGCTAGTTCTCATTTTGGCACCTGTTGAGATCATTTGGTACAAACTATTCTCTTTCCAAAGAGTATGCTAACAGAAAGCAAAATAATAGGCAATTCAGGTACCTGAATTTAGGGGATAAAACTCTACATGTTTCCTATTCCCCCAAAGTTACTAGTTATCTGTATTATTTCTCTCTTCTCAAACAAAGCAAGTCACAAAAGTCCTACTACATAAAATGAATTATGAAAATCAAGGATAATTCTTCTAAAAGTAATCATCACAACCTCCAACATAGGTATGCATGAATAGGGAGCTTATTTCTTAAACTGAAAGGCAATATACCTTGCAGATAGTAAAATCAATTTCTACCATTGAGTTCCTTTGGGAGTAATATTTCAAGTTAGTAATTCCAAAACTCAAGTGAACACTAGAATCACTGGAAAACCTCTTAAAATACAGGTTTCTGGCCTTTAGCCTCAAAGTTTGTAATACAGGGGGAGGGGTGGAGAATATGGATTTCTCACAAGTTCCCCAGTGATGTTGATGGCTGCTGGTGTGGGGACCATACTTTAATAATCACTGATCTAGGTCTTTGAGGTCTCACAGTGTTTGTAATTTATTCAGGAACCAGATGATAAAACACGTTAAAAAATACCTAGCAATACAAGGTAACATAAGGGCCCCAAATAAGCTACAATGTGTGTGATGGAAGTGCAGTGGTGAGAACTCGGGGTTATCAGGATTTGAGCTAACTCTCAGGTGTGCAGAGACTTGAGACCATCCGAGAAGAAGAGGGAGAGCCTTCTAGGATGGGTATATGAATCAAGTTGGTAGAGCTATGACTGGATAGATAGTTTGGGACCAGTTTGTGAAGGGTTTTTCAATGCCATCCTATAAGGAGTTAGATTTTATGCAGGAGGTAATATTTATTTCATCCACACCTCATCTCTTTCTGTGGTGTGCAACCACAATATTTAGCTCTACATTACTGCAAACATTTTAAACTTCCCAAAGTGCTGTTCAGCCAGGGATGGGGTGGGAGTGGTGGAGGCTCTGGTATTTGATAATGAGGTAGAGCAGGGGCATAGGATAAGCATCATGATTAATCTTTCTGCTTATGGTGAAAAACGCTGATATATAAAAAGAATAGTAAGAACAGGAGGGACTCCATCTTAAGGCTAATATTCCATTTAAAAAACCAGGGAGTTTGGAGATAAGATTCCTCAACTATTTTATGGTAATTAGCCAATGGTTGACTCTACCTTAAGGTAGGGCAAGCAGTCCTAAATGGTATGTTTCCACTGCTTGAGGGTAACCACTATCCTGGAGAAGAACAGGATCAATAAATTCCTTGTGTTAAGTTTATCTTACAGAATATCTAGAGGACAGACTATGGATGGTGACATAATGTGTCTCCCCAGAAATAGATACCATGAGACCATAAGTCAAGCCTATTCTCCCCTGGCCCTATACCCCATTCTTGAAATCCTTAAAATACATGAATCCTAAGTCTTTAAGCACACCTCTTCTCTGAGGCTGCATGCACTCCCCTTTCTTTGAGTGTGTACTTTGCCTTAAATAAAGCCTTCTTGCTGCTCAACTTACTGTGTTTTTTCTCTATGCTCTTCTAACCCTCTCAGGAGGCTAATAAGAAACGCATTTCCTTGTGGTAAGCATCTTTGTTACTTCACTATTTCATTCAGTTTTCTAGACTTAAGCACAAGTCTTCTCTCTCTCTCTTCTACTTCAGACAAGTAAGGAAGAGCTACTGAGAGCTCTGATTTGGGCCTGCCAGTTCTCATACTTGGGTGACCTGGATGGGACTGCAGCTGTAGGATTATGCTCTTTAGTAGCCTGCCTGAAAAATCTCCTTTCTTTGCTTTGGGGGAAGTTCTCAGTACATAATCACATTCCCTCCCTCCAGTGCTCTGCAGCTGCCCATCCTGGGGTCGTTGGGGCTTAGTTCCCACTCTGTGCAGACTCAAGTGGACACTTAACACCAGGTAACCCTGGCTTCAGGAGTTGGCAAGGGGTCTGCCCTGTACTGAGCAGGAGCTCAATGAACTTTCCTTTCCTCCCTCTGTTATTCCTTGGTCTCTACTGCCTTCATGGCTGCTACCATTCGCTGCTCTCTCTTTAACGAATTCTTTCCTTAACTACACTCCTCCAACCTGCTCATGATTTCTCATCAGAGTCAAGAAACCTATCCCATCTGGTTTGAGGTTTCACCTAGTGAGTAGGGAGGGAACCTCAAGACAACTGCCCCACAACAATAAGATGCCAGTTTAAACTGGAAGGTGGATTTATTTGCATGTCCAGTCAATTTCTTTTTCCAAGGTTGCAGGGATGGGGAAGCCAGCAACTTTTGGATGTTTCCTGAAATACTAAGCAAAGTTTGTGTATGGATATAGGTTACTGCCAGGAAAAGGGAGTATCTCCAATGGCTGGGGCAACTTTGGCTCTTGTCCCACTGAGGGTCTGAAGTGGGCCAGACCATGCACTAGAATTCAGTGCTTTTCAATCTTTTCAGGTGCACAAGTAGGAATCACTTGGAGATCTTGTTAAAATGCAGCTCCTGATTCAGCAGGCCTGAGACTGTGCATTTCTAACGTTTCCAGAGGATGCTGGCGCTGCGGATCGCCCTTTGAGACAAGGTACCGTGGGACATCCGGACTGCGGATAGCCCGTTGCAGAAGGAAGGAGGATAACTGCGATCCTTAAAGATTCCCCCACAGAGGTGGACGGTGTGGGTGTGGGACAAACAGCAGGGCGGCCTGGGCAGAGCTGGGAAGGTGGCCGCGGGGCAGGCCGAGGCGCAGACTGCGTCAGGTATGAGTGCTCGGGTGGTGGCGATCCGGAGGACACGCACGTGGCCGACTCGGCCTGCCTGCGCGAGGATCGCTTCCCGCCCGCGGCGCGATTTCTGCTCTTTCGGCCCTCGGGGGCTCCCATCGCGGCTGCTCCGAGCGAAGCGGAGACGGCGACGGCGGCAGCTGATTGCCGCACAGCGCGGGCTGGCGCGCGCCCTCCCGGCGGGCCGGGCGCCCCGGCTCCCGGAAGCGGAAGGGGAGCGCTGCCCGGCCTGGGCGACGGCGCGGCGCTGGACCGGGAGCGGAGGAGGTGGGGTGGAGGACGGAGGGCGCCGCTGGCGGCCACGGGAGCAGCGGCGGCGAGAGGCGAGCCCCCTGGCGCCGGTGAGTGTGTGCAGGCACGGGGACGACGCGGCCGCCCCCCGGCCCGCCCCGCGGGGCCCGCCGCCGCCCCTCGGAGCCGGGCCGCCCTCATCTGGCCGCGTTCCTGCTCCGCGCCCGGCCCCCGCCCCGCACCTGCGCTCGTCCGGCTCAGAACCCCAGGTCTGCCTGGGGCTGCTGGCCTGGCCTTTCTCAGAGCATCTTCAGCCGTCCCCCAGCTTCTCCTCCCGGAACTGGTGGTGGGTGGGTTCCTGGTCAAGTAGAGCTGATTTTTGGTATCTTAAAAAAAAATTTTTTAATCTGTGCCCTGAGTTTCTCGCGTGAGAACTACAGTTATCTTCTGTATCCCCGGGGGACCTGCGCAGGGATCTCGGATTTATCTACGCTATCCACCGCCTTTCATTCATTTACAGATCGCTGGTGTGAGGTTGCAGAGGATTAACAGAGTAAATAGTTTGATCCTTTATTGATGTTACGCCTTCCTCCTCCAGATCCTAGAGTGGTTTTGAGAAAATGGCTATGGATGGCAGCAGTTTTTGCTTGTTACCATTCACTATAATAAAATTGCACTTGTTACCATTCACTATAATAAATAGGTCGCTGGATTTTAAATGGAAGATCCATTTAAAGTGTGGTTTCTCAAGCTATATTTGGGTCACATTTTAAGATCCTCAGTGAGTCAGTGGAGGATGTCCATATCTCTAGGGCTGAGAGAAGCTGACCGGTTATTACTGGGAAATATTGCAATACAGCAGTCCATAAAAAAACAAGAGGAAAAAAAATACTGTGGGTGGGTCATAAATCATAGTGTAAAATTACCACGAAGGATAATTAAGGTCAATTAAAAAAGATGTGTCAAAGGGATCCTCAACCTAGTATGCTAATACATTTATGTAAAAAAAATTCACTGCCTTCCTTGTGATAATAATCGTAGTTACCATTTGATGACTGCTTAGTATGTGCCATCCCTGCACTAAAAGGCATTTGGTGTAATATCTTGTTAAGTTCTTCCATCTCTTTTAGTCTTCAGTTCTTTTAAAGATAAAATCCAGAGAGATGCTTTATTTTGCAATGTCTTAATGGCAAAAAGAGGTAGAAAGACAGAAATAACCAAATGAGACTTGGTGTTAAGTGGAAAGAGAAACTAGATTCTAGTTCTACCACTGTCCAGTCTAAATGTGGGGTCATGGGTAGGTCAGTGATTGACCCATGCTGTTTTCTCAGCTATACAGCTAGGGAGAAAGGTTAAATCCTTTAAGGCTTATTTTTGGCTTTTCCATGCTTACTTAGCATAGGCTTTGTTTGTAAATAATTTAAGACCCTTAAGCATGTTAAAAGTATATTTAAAACATTTACCTGAAGAAGTATTAGTTAAATTACATAAAAATATAACTAAAAAATATATAATTACATACTTTTGGAGTAATACTTGGTATAGCAATATTCCAGGGTTCCTCATTTTTGATGTAAAACAATGGGATTATATGAGTTCCCTTCAAACTGTTGTGATTTAAACTTAACATACTTAAGAAACTGTAGTTGGTATAAATGAAACAGAGCATATTTAAAATGATGCTGAGTTCCATTACCTATTTCTGTGGTGTTTTACTTAATATTAAGAAATGTAAGCATTAAAAATGCATACAGGTAACTATCAGCCAAACACATAGGTTCTGAAACAAGAAGTAATCAGTGAATCATACATTTTTTTACTTCTCATTTGCCCACTGCATGATACCTTTAATTCATAGGGACTGGTTCAGAGCCTGTGAAAAAGTGCATGGTACAATAATGCCATGTATTAGTGAAGAAATGAATTGACAAGTCTAGTAATGTCTCCTGTGCAGTTTTTTTCTGCACAGGAGTCAAAATCTTTTTCAGTGGCAGAATGCTACATAGTGGCACATAACAGGGAAGGCAGAAGAAAAGCTATTTTTATTACCAGGAAGTTGTTTCCTAAGCTCAGTTTTACTTTTATATGAAGGAATGAAGACATTTTATATTGTGTTAGTAAAACGTTAGGGCTCAGATTCAACTTTTCAATGCGCTAAATATAAACGGTCTTTTAACATCTAGTAGAATAATCAGTGCGTTAATACTTCTTATTAAAGTTGCAAATGTTTGAACTATTTTGAATCAGTGAAAAATATGGGTGAAAGACAATGATAAATAGAAAAACTCTAGTCTTGTTAGAATAATGATTTTTTCCTTAAGAATCCTTGATAAGTTGATTTAGCCTACTTTAAAAAGCGTATTTTTATAGATGTGAAGCAGCACTGCTCTCATTTGTAGATCCCTAACCAAAAACATCTTAGTGTAATGGTAGTTTGTTTACTTACTTCCCTCTTTTGATGCACCCTAGGAAAAAAGTGCACATTTTCTAAGTTTGTCTTCTGCCTTGTAGGTCTTCTCTTTCCCTGTGCTTTTCTTCTTAGGTAGACTAACCTTTGTATCCACTTAAAAGCCTGAATAGGTATCTGCTCTCTTCATCTGTCTGTTACCAATTTCAAAAGGGCAGGTTAGGTAGAAATTAGTGTTTTAGCATTCACTGATTGATATTATTTTAATTCTAACTTTATATGTTCCTTAAGTTTGATCTCAACCAGGCTTCCAATTTTAAGCATTTTATCTTTAATTATAGGATGGATAACTCTTTTACCTGTTTTAGGATTTTCAGCTTCAGCAAACAAGTAAGGAGAGATTTTTCTTTCCCTGTTCTCTCCTTAATGCTGCTTTGGTAAAGCCTGGTAGGAAGGAAATCTAATTTAGCCTTTTCTGCTGTCTTGATGCTGTGGGTATGAGAGGTAAATAGCTAGCTTCCCTTTCCTCTTGGAAGAGCATGCCTGATTCATGCCCAAGAAACTCCGGACCTCTTCATTTCTGGTTTTTATTTTATCTGAAGGTTTTTACTTGTGCTGCTTTCTAAGGAAAGGTTATCTGTCCCTACCCTACCTTGAATTCCATTTCTTCTCTTGCCTTTCCTTTCCCTTTTAATCACACTCCTACCTTTCCAAATGAAGATTCCCACATAGCCATATTTGTTTGACTGAAACAATATTTGGTAGTCTTTAATTCATATCCTCCCACACCTTCCAAGTTACTTGTACTTTCTGTTAGGATATTCTGATGAAGTGTGTCATTGTAGTGCTATATTTTTAATAGGGGTATTAGTTTACATTTGTTTTTCACTCATGGGGCAAGCACACAGAAGAGCAAAAGCTTACATTCAGTTTTGCCCAGGATAATGTGATTTAAAGACTTGTCTTGGAAGTATATTCTTGAAACCATTGATGGTGCCAGTATGTTATGCTTTGTCTCTGTCCACTGACATTTTCAGTCTTCCTGGAGAACTCAGCAATCCAGTCAGAATTTCCCATTTTAATTATGCATTCTTCAGTTTCTGAAATCAGGTCCTGATTTTCTCCCATGCTTCATCCCTTAACTCACCAGTCCTTCTCCTTTTACTTGAAAGAGATTTCATTTACAGGCTTTATTTAGTTCAGTCACCGTATTTTAAACCAAATCCCTATTTTTGCTTTTCTGATGGAAGAGACCTCATGCCAACAGGTGGGAATACAATCTCCCTACATGCTTACTGTATCACCACTTTTAACAATGGGAACTCACAAACATTGTTTCATTCAGGAGTTTGTAAGACTAGAAGTAAAAATCATCTTTCAGGCTCTCTTTCTCTCTCCTCTCCCAATCCCCTTTAAAGTGATCATTTTTGGAGTTGCTAATCATTTGCCAGGAAATTTCTCATTTACACATAACAACAGTGAGTTATTTTTAGTCACCAATTTACAGATGGTTAAACAAGCTTGAAAAGAAACTGAAGCTTGGAACTAGTAAGAGGCTGCACGGTAATTTGAATGTGGCTCTCTTTCATATCTGTACAAGATTAATTTCTTACTCTACTGAAATAAACTGAATTACCTATGCTATTTAAAAAAATTGAATTACCTCATTGGCTGATTATTAGAGGCCATTGGCTAATTATTGTATACCTTGATATTTTAGGTAGAATTATTTAACTTGACCAATTTTCAGAGTAGATAAAATCTGAAGTTAAATAGCTGTATAAATATATTTAAAAGTGTATGGTTGTAACTTTATATTTTTAATGCTCATTTTAAGCTATAATTATAAGGTTTAAATTTTATATATTCATATATTAACCATTTTCTTTTGGCCCTGTGTGTGGGGGGTACTTTTTTAGTTTTGTTTACCCTGCAAATTTTTGATTGTATTCTTTTAGGCATAGCAATGTTAAAAATATTTAATGACATTTTATAGCTGTGAAACTTTGGGATATTCTTTGTTATCCCCAATTTCTTCGATTTCTAAGCCTAGCATTGTTTTTATACCACATGGTTGAGATTTGACTCCATAATGGTGGTGGTGTTATTGAACTAGACAAAATGTTCATCTCATTTTGGATACTATGGTTGCAGTGTAGCTCTAATAACTGTAAAAATAAAGTAGGATTTTTTGAGTCTAAGCCAGTGAGTGTGCCTGGGTTTTGACTCATGGATGGTTGACTTGTGCTATTACCTAACAAATGTTACTGACAGAAGCTACTGTTTTGATGAAACATTAGGAAGCCACCCTAGCATCATAACCTTAGCAGCATTATTAACTTTGGCTGTGTTTCAGAACATATTGTTGTACCACATTTAATTCTGCTTGAGATTTTTTTCCAGAAGAAGATGAATTCATTAATTTTCCATTAGAATAGCAGCTCCTTTACTTTGTCATTCCATGTTTTGTCTCTAAGAAGCAAAGGTGCAGCCAAGAAATCACATTTAATTAGTTTAGAAAGTTAGAGTAGAAACAAATTATACTTGACAGTCTAACATCCATGGACTATAGAAAAATTGACCCTGGGAGAAAGTACATTTAAAAATAGATGTATAAGGGGGATTGAAATGTAATGACGATTTTGATGTATTTTTCATATCCTCAGTATGTAATAGTTTCCTGTTTCTGTGATATGCTTAACA